TAGTAATATTCACAGTTATGTACCACCTTATCCTACTGAGTCTGATCATCTTCCACTGTGTATGGAGATGTGTAGTAATATTCACAGTTATGTACCACCTTATCCTACTGAGTCTGATCATCAGCCGCTGTGTATGGAGATGTGTAGTAATATTCACAGTTATATACCACCTTATCCTACCTGATCATCTTCCACTGTGTATGGAGATGTGTAGTAATATTCACAGTTATGTACCACCTTATCCTACTGAGTCTGATCATCTGCCACTGTGTATGGAGATGTGTAGTAATATTCTGTACCACCTTATCCTACTGAGTCTGATCTGTGTATGGATCTTCTTATCCTACACTGTGTATGGAGATGTGTAGTAATATTCACAGGTTATGTACCACCTTATCCTACTGAGTCTGATCATCAGCCGCTGTGTATGGAGATGTGTAGTAATATTCACAGTTATATACCACCTTATCCTACTGAGTCTGATCATCTTCCACTGTGTATGGAGATGTGTAGTAATATTCACAGTTATGTACCACCTTATCCTACTGAGTCTGATCATCTTCCACTGTGTATGGAGATGTGTAGTAATATTCACAGTTATGTACCACCTTATCCTACTGAGTCTGATCATCTGCCACTGTGTATGGAGATGTGTAGTAATATTCACAGTTATGTACCACCTCCTCCTAGTGATGTGTAACCGCCAACCTATAGACATGTATGGTGTGATTCCTGTAGCGGGGAGTTTACTTCAAGACTGCTTTGTAATGTTGAATTATTTTTTTATGCCTATACAGATTTCATTGAAAAGGGGAGATAACAGAGGCAGTACATTTGATTAACAATGCTAGACTAGAGTCGGCTGAGTCTATGAGAAAACAAATATCTTTTAGAAATAACACACAACCAGTGTGGTTTGATAAAGAATGTAGAGAAGCTAAACAAACTATATATTCAAGTCTACAGAAATTTGTAGTTCAAATAATAGGGAAGATCTTGCTACATCCATTACTTTGTAAAGAAAAGAAAATGCACAGGGAACATGAAAATATAGATAAATTGTTTGAAAATCTTTCTGATAATACAGTATTTTGGAAAACTACAAAAAGTACATCTAATCCACTATCCATGGAAGTTTGGGAAGACCACTTTGAGAATGTATTTAGGAGTGTAGATTCCAATGACGTAAACTATAATGACAACGGTGCGGAAATTGATGACATTTCAGGCTTAATTTTAAATGGTAAAATAACTGAAGAAGCATTAAGAAAGGTCATTTCAAACTTAAAGCAAAATAAGTCCCCAGGGAGAGATAATTTATTACCAGAATTTTTCCTTTCTAGCGTAGAAGTACTTTCCCCGATGTTGAGTACATTATTTAACAGAATACTAGAAATTGGTCATTTTCCAGATGGATGGTCAAAGTCAATCATTATTCCACTGCATAATGGTGGTAGTAAAGATGATCCGAATAACTATAGAGGTATATTTCTAACTAGTGCTTTTGGAAAGCTATTTACCTCAATAATATGCATCAGACTTAGTATGTGGGTACAGATTTACGATAAAGTAGTGGAATCGCAGGCAGGTTTTAGGCAAGGCCATTCTACAATTGATAATGTATTTATTTTAAACACAGTTGTTGAGAAATGTACTAAACTAAAATAGGAGTTAAGGGTAAGATATTCAAGGTGATTAGGAGTATCTATACAAACATAGCAGCATGTGTTAGAAGTAATGGTAACTACCCAGATATGTTTGATTGTTCTAATGGTCTAAAACAAGGATGTATTATGAGCCCCATTATGTTCTCGTTATATATTTATCAACTAGCAGAAAATATTGAATCATCAGATTGCTACGGTATTCAGATGCTCCCCGATATCAAAACACTTTATCTACTACAAAAACAATTAAACCTTCTGTCAAAATTCTCATTAGAATATGGGCTAATGGTTAATATGGATAAATCTAAGATTATGGTTTTTAGAAAAGGGGGACCAATTGCTTAAAAGGAAAAATGGTTTCATAACGGAAAGGAACTAGCGATAGTGCCTAAATATAAATATCTTGGAGAATGACAATAAATCAAGGGGCGTCATATGCAAAGAAGGTGTTAGGTAGTATAGTTAAATCCATAAAAAGTAATATTAGTATTGATTATAAGATGTTTTTTAACATGTTCGATACAAAAGTGTTACCAATTCTATGTTATGGTTCTGAAATTTGGGGTCACAGAAAATATGAGAGTACTGAAAGAATACATATCCAAGCATGTAAGAGATTTATGCAGTATTAGGGGAGTGCGGATGATACCCCATAGTAGTACATACATATAGAAGAATAGTAAAAAGTAATATGTTGCGGGTTTACGACAACTCTAGTAAGGTAAATTGGGTATCTGAGGTAAGAATTCTTTTGTGTTGTAACAGTTTTGGGGTTCTATGGTTGAATCGGGGAGTTGAGAATATAGAATGTTTTTTTGTTTGAATTTGTACAAAGGATGAGATATGTTTTTATTACAGAATGGTATGCCGGTTTAGAAACGTCCTAAAAATTATGTACATTTAGGCGTTTTAAGACAATTGTTTTGAACCAGAACGATATTTAAATGTTGTAAAGATACAGACGTATAGAAGATTATTAACAAGTTTAAGGTGTGGAGTTTTACAATTAGAAATAGAAACCAGGAGGGCTAAGGGTATTATCAGGGAGGACAGATATTGTCAACTTTGTAAAAACATTAACATAGAAGATGAAATGCACTTTATGTTGGAATGTAAATCTGTTAAAAATATTAGACAGAAATACATACAAGAAAAAATTCTAAAACTACCAGAGGGGCATAATTTTATATCACTAATGACTTCTAATAATGACAAATTAATTAAGAATGTAGCTTATCATATATATCATGCAACTGTATTAAGGAAATCTTTATTATGTTCACAACGCTTATGTGCATCATGTGATTTATTGTCCATGTAAATATTACTGTACAAGTTTTGTTATGGGCCAGTGGCCTGAAAGTAAAATAAACTATTGACTGATTGATTGATTGTTTGTATGGTGCTTACAAAAAGGGAACCATAATTACTGTAAACCTGAATTTGAACCCATGATTATTAGTTTCGAGTATGCCCAAGGGACAAAATTCTGTACAGAAAATTATGCATCTTTGAAGGCCTCGGCTACCCATGTCCCCAGATGGTAAAAGTGGCTGGAGGAGGGCCATAGATTTTACACATATAGGTGTGGACTATCATAAAAACAGGGGAGGGCCATAGATATTACACATATAAGTGTGGACTATCATAAAACAGAGAAGGGCCATAGATATTAAATATTATATACAAGTTTTGTGTGGACTAGCATAAAAAAACATTGACTGGGATTGGGCCATAGATATTACACATATAAGTGTGGACTATCATAAAACAGAGAAGCTGGAGGCCATATATATGTGTGTGGATAAGTGTGGACTATCATAAAACACATATGTGTGGACTGTGGACATATAAGTGTGGACTATAGCATATATATTACACATATGTGTGTGGATATTACACTAGCATAAAACAGCATAAAACAGGGGAGGGCCATAGATATTATTTCACACATGTTCTGAATATCTTTATGAGAAAATTTTGTTTTTTTGAAACAGGCATTGTGTGACCAGTTGAAAGTTATCCAACGAGTAACCAAACAAGGGTATTCAATGATACTGATGTCATAATGCCGAACTTTCTTTTGCCACCTCTATATCATAAAATAACATTATAACATAACATAAATATTTTAACAAAAACGTCAACCAAACAAAACATTAGGTTTGTAGATAATTAATATTTAATTTCAGTGTCCTCGAGATTTGTATCATTTTCCGATTGAATATTATTAAATGTTATTTTCATCTAAAAAGTAGTCATGACAGAGTTGTCTCCCTTTCGTATTGTTTACATCTGGCATCGTCTACTTGATTTGACATCATAAATCACACTGTTTTCCCGTCCTGTGTGTAAACAAATAGATCACAAAACACATCGATGTTGAACATTTTCCATATTCAACACCCACCCGTTTTGCAATCTCTACACAAATGTGTGCACTAGCATAAAAACAGCTGGGGGAGGGTCATATAGATATTACACATATGTGTGTGTGGACTAGCATTAAAACAGGGGAGGTGCATTACTTTCACTCGATCTACATTATTGCATAAAAAAACCCATTTGACACCCCCAGCCACCCCAGCCCCATGTAGCATTAATCATTGACACCATATACCAGGTACATGTCTAGTCACTGCTACCAACTATCAACCTTCCACAAGTAGGAAGGTGAGAGATTCAGGATAGCGTTAGATGGACCGTTGGGGTGAAAGGTTATGAACGGTTGAAAGGTAACTGTGTCAGCAGCCACACAGCTAGTCTATCTCACAGTCCCTGAACCACATTATTTCCCTACTGCCAAGCCCTCTCTGCAGTGCTAAAGCCCTAAATAAAGCAAGTCTAGATTTCCCCAGGTTCTGAATCTCTTGTCTCCCTGGGTCTCCTTTTCAATTTAAATGGGCTTGTTTGTTACTATCAAAATTATATATATTCAGAGACTAAGCATTAGTCTACCACACAGCCCACGATTTCTCTTCCTTCGTGTGACCTCCATGACCTAGTTATTGAGGCATTTGCACTGCTAGAAAGGTAGTAAAACACGATACGAATCATTTCAACTGTACAAATAACTACACGTGCTAGAATTGTCCTAATGTAAGTTATGTGTGGAATTGCCTGTTAGCACTTTTCATATTGTACACGTCAGTAACCTTATTTGATCAATGTATATGTCAGTGACCCCACAGTAACAGATCTACACGCAACTACTGTAAATGCAGCCCTGGCAGTATTATACGGTAGATTTGCTAACGGAAATAAAACAAAGAAACTTTACTACAATTTCTAAATATGCCATATATCTTATTGTCATCATCCTTGTACACCTACCGTCAACGCCCCGAAGAGACATCAAATGTCAGTGGATTCTCTCCCTTGAATCAACAATCTGATCAGAAATCTCCCCTCCTTTCAAAGCCCAGTTGTATGGGAGATGGGGAACTCGATCATTGTACTTGAATAATAGGGGACACGGATTTCTTGTCTAATACTTGTATTATTTATTTGTGTTTACAACCTGCATAGTTTCTATTTTCTCTCACAAAAATCATAACAATAACCGCGTGGGGATCATATACACTATGTTGTATTATTATATAAATATGATAACAATAGACGGGTCTCGGGTCACACAAGGGTCGCAGATATCGGATTACACAGCGTTGTGTGAAAATGTTGACTGAGACATCAGAATAGTAAACGGTTCAATATAAGGCCATATATAAAAATAGTCTTGTTTCTCATTACCACCCTACCCTAAGATTTTATATATTATTTGCACTAGAGAAAATGCAACTTTGACTCTCAAAATGTGCGTGAATTTTTCACACTTCTAACTTTTGATTTTCTATCGGAGAAAAGGTGTAAATTTCCACAGAAATCAAGGGGTTTTGGACGTAACATAAAATAAAATGTGTAAATAAAATCCGCCCACTCGACCCATATTTCTTGTGAAAAAAGTGATGAAAAACAAGAATATGTTTTTATGTGGCCTAAAAACATAAGCTTAGTTCTGGTTGTGTAAAGAAGATCAATGCATACACCGGATTATAACATTAGGGTCTGTATGAAAACTAGATTTTCGTAGCTCTGATGATCTTTGTTAGACAATGTCACATGTAAAAGAGCCCGACTTATTCATTTATTGTATTTATAAGGTAACAGGAAAGAGGCTGAGAGATCGACTATACGGTAATCCGATGTTTTCACAGCAGTTCGCTTGCGCGGCACTTCTAGCACAACTTTAGTTTTCGCTTTACCGGGAACAGAGAATATTGCAAGTTCGCTTTCCCGGGCCGACACCGTCCGACCGATATCAGTCCTAGCGATACGAAATTGGAGTTACGTCCCTTAGTGCGTCGTCTTCTCGGTTTACTTTCTCATAACAATATCTTCCGAAGTTTAAAAAAATGTATTGCATTCAAGTGCCAGGAGGTACAATTTACATCTACAAGTTATCACACAGCAGTGTTCATATCATATCAACTGCTAACCACCACATCATCCAGATGGACATGTAATAACAATGTATCATTCTTAATGTATCGACGTTTAAGGTTAAGGCATATGCATTTCTTTGAGATAAGACATTCTTTCTTGATTGAGCAGACATTGATTGCATCGATACACAGAGGTTGAAGGTATGATGTAAAAAAAACCCAGGAACGTACGTGTTACATGAATCTGAAAGCTTAACATTAAAACACGCGTAGTTTGCAGGCGGTAGTATGGCAGGCCGGTTTCATATTTATTAAGAAATAGTGATATCTTCAATTGTTTTACAAATATCTTGAACTAAATTAAAGATATCTTGAACTGAACTGAAGATGTCGCGAATAGAGACAATTATAGATATCTCCAATAAAATTCATGATATCGCAAAATCAATTCAGGATATGTTGAAGCATATTAATGATATCTTGAAAAGAATTGCTGATATCTTGAATTGAATTAGAAGTATCTTGAAATGAATTAGAGATGTCATGAAATGAATTAATGATATCTCAAACTGAGATAATGTATTGAGAAATTACTGATATCGTATTTTGTTTTAAAGATATCGTTAACTGAATTGGAGATATCTTGAAATGAATTAAAGATATCTTGAATAGAGATATTCAAATACAATTTCAAGATATCTTCAAACACTTCCGGCTGCATTCCCGTAAATGCTTCCGGTTCTGTAAAGTACTTTGAGTATAAAATGGCGGGCGGTGCTGACGATTAGGTTCTTGGTCGTATTCATTCCACAATGGGTGACATACAGCGTTTGTTGACTGAAAGTGTCAATGTTTCGTCAGCTAAACAACTCCTCCAGACTGCTTTATCCAATTTACATGGTTTATCGCCTTCAAGTGGTAATGCGAAGTACTTGTCCGTCAGACAGCCAACCTAGCAGCTGCTCACTTTGGGCGAGAAATTAGAAGTTGAGGATCCCCTTTCAAATGCAACAAGTATGACCAACAATCAAAGAATTCGTGTCCAGTGCTTAAATTCCATGAGAGCACTAGGATATAGCTAAAGTGTGATTCGTGAGTTTGTTGCTAGTTTTTCACTAAATTTATTTGTATATCTGTTAGAAAAATAAATATATGTGCTTATATATTACGTTTCTGCATCCTTTACACATATTATAGTCGTCAAAAAATGTATGAATACACTGGATAGTATTTCTCAGTTTAATGGGAAAGGAAACCCGATCTTGTGTAAGAATTAATTAATATTTAGTAAAATGCATGCCCTTCTTCGAGACAAGCCAATCAGTGGGGAGCAGCATCAAAACAACGTTCATGTCACCTGTAACATATGCTATATTTGGGATTACACTTTCTTAAATAACAACGTATGGTATGGATTTACAACTTCTTAATATTTACAACACGACGCTTCTGAGTTACTTCTTGCCCTTTCATCAGGTGAATAACAGAATATGATTACAAACAAATATATAGAATGTACAGGAAGCCCGTGAGATAGTATTACAGATTGAGATGTACAGAGATAAAGAAGATTAAGTCATGTGTTTTGATTGAGATGTACAGAGTACATCTGGAGACCATCTGGATCCACCGCACCAAATACCCAACTTCTAAATGCCCATCAAACATCTACACTTTCTTAGTAAAGTACAAATTCTTGTACTTTTGTTGGCTTGAGTCCCATCCGGGGACATGTCACCTGTGACTAAAGACACGATGCGATGAGAAACAACACACAGACTGTAACAAACCGGAACAAATATGGCAGGGAAGATTTCCCGAGAACCTGAACAGTTGAAAAAAAGCGACAAAAATCAAAGACATGAAATTTGTGAAACACAGGCCTACATACGCCCTTCACAAGTCTTATACCTAGTCTCTGAGTTTGGTTTTACGTCGCTTTTAGCAATATTCCAGCAATATCACGGCGGGGTACACCAGAAATGAGCTTCATACATTGTACCCATGTGGGGAATCGAACCCGGGTCTTCGGCGTGACGAGCTCCAAGTGTCTGAATATGAATATATATCTTTAATACATTCTTTTAAATTGAAAAGAAGTCCCAGTGAGAAGGGAGATTCAGAGACTAACACCATCTGGCATCGGGCTATTCTAGCAGTCCCTGAACCGTAGTATTTTCCATACAGCCTAGCCCTCCTAGTCTGTCTCACACTCCCTAAACTGTATTATTTTCCCTACAGCCTAGCCCTCCTAGTCTGTCTCATAGTCCCTGAACCGTATTATTTTCCCTACAGCCTAGCCCTCCCTTCAATTCTAACGCCCTAAATGAAGCAAATCTAGAGTACACAGGTTCTGAATCTCTGGTCTTCCTTTGGGCTCCTTTTCAATTTCAATGGGTTTATTTGTTACAATCAAAATGATATATATTCGGAGACTAAGCGTTAGCCCAGGGCTATTGATGCTGGGACCATTATCAGCTAAACATTACATTCCACTACCATCAGGTGAATGATTAAATGACGGTTCTCTTGTCAAGCTCTATCCTCTCTCCCTGGCGTCTAGCTAGAGTGCTGCAAGCTGTCTCCACCTCACCAGGCCACGTATGACACTCCCATTCCAGTAACGTATTCTTTTCCTGGCATATTCCGAAGCTCAATTTCCACAATGTTACTCAGAAGTTAGAAGGAAAAAATTGCAAAAAGTATCTGAAACAACACGAAAGTTCTCAAAAAATTTGTACTTGTGTCCAAGTTGCATATCTATTTGGATAATTTATGTGGAGAAAAATGCAGTTAAACCTCTTTACATAGCAAAAAAAATTAATGAAAGTGAACCAAATCACAACTATGTCCTACTTGAAGTTGTAATGAATGTTTTTATATAAATATTAGGTGTTTTAGCTTCATCGGAGTAGTGCATCTGTACAACTGCACATTGCTTGCATATTTTATTTGTGTTTTACAGGAGTTGTATCTTTGAAAAATCACATTGTCCTTTGGCTTCAGTGAATAATATTTTAAAACTCATACACGTCACTGTCCACATGCAATGGACAACCCGTGTTGCACATTGCAGACATTGGACACTTGCACAGATTTGGCTGTGTCACATTGCCTCGACTGCAATTCGGATCCATCGACATTGCGTTGTTGTGGAAGCAGCCCGCATTGATGGACGTGGCTTAATATATTTTTTGTTCACATTCACAGGAACGCAAAAACATATTCATTGTACAAACAGTATAACGTAGTCCTTTAGTCTGCATGCAATGTAAACAAATTGTCTAACATTTAACTTTAGTAGAATGTCTTGCAATCAGTATCTTCGTTCAGCAAATCCAGTCTGCCGGGTTTCTGTTTTGATCACTTTTCTACATAAGTCGTAAAAATAAGTAGCTCCTCTTGTGCCCACACTTTGATGTGGAAACAAAACACCAAATACATTGATCACCATCAAGAACATGAATGCACGGAAGGGAAGGCAAAATCACTGACAACTGCAAGCATCGCAATTTTCACCACTTGTCATCCACAGTGTTATTTAGGGTATGGTTGAAAAAATATATAGAACATTTACTCAAGAATTGAAGTTCCAACAAGAATAGTAGTGATCACGGGCATCGTGTTTGGTATCAAGTCACCAATGATAATTGAGAAACGTCGTTTGATGACCCCAGTATAGAATCGCGGAAATCGAACTCCAAAGTGACCATAAGATACCGTTTATAAAATCGTAGATCGATGTTTATGCTCATGGTTACTGGATTGTCTGGTCCAGACTCGATTATTTACAGACAGCCGCCATATAGCTTGAGTGCCGTGTAAAACTAAACTCACTCACTCACGTTTATAAAATCACGTCACACTTATGTCGGTTAAGTTACGCCTATTACATCACGTATAATTCAAATTTAGCTTCATTACCCGAATCCCTGAATTCCTCATACGTTTTACAAGATTAAGACAAATAGTCTTTGTCATCAATGCCAAGTGTCTCGGTGAAATCCATGTACATATATCAGGTCTGAAAACAGCACTTGTTTGATCTGTGAAGAAAGATATCCTGGTGACTCGCAGCTCGCAAAACTGTTCATACTGTTTCATTTCATCATTTCATGGAGTCGTGCAATCTGTTTGAGGGTTTCTTCCACATGTATGCCTAAATGCCTAAGAACGTTAATTCGGTCATCTCTACAGTTAGAAGTACTTGGAAAATGTGTTTTCCCTTTACGAACAGTAAACATTAAGGCCCATCTACTGAAATATCGTACAAAGGAATATGAAACAGTTTCCTTGTGTAATTTACAGCTCTCATTTACATCATAATGGCCTTTATTATGCGATTGGGCTCCGGGTATAGGACTATAATGTACATACATATGCTGTAAACTCTACCGTTTTAAGTTAGTCTTGTTATATTACTCATACAATCATGGTATGACACGATGCATATGTGAAAGTGTTGATACATTCTTGCAGGAAGACCAAGTGTCGATATGTCGACCAGCCAGATCGCATGTCTTCTGAAGAAGGGTTACACAGCTGCCAAAATAGCACATCACTTTACTTGTTCAGCAGGCACCGTATGTAACAAGATGCATTCGAAAAACAAATACACGGATCTTACTGATGAGGAACTTCGAATTAAAGTGGGAGATACATGTATAAAGGACAGTTTCCCAAATACAGGAAGTGAGGTGTGTTTAATACACAAAGCCTAAATATAATAGTAATAATGAGTTTATGTTAAAAATCTTCTACTGAAAACATTATTTGTAAAGGACCACATTGTGTTCGTTCCTTATACAAATATTGATGACGCCTTACACAAACAGTATAGCAGTATCTGTTTGGCACGAACACGAATAGGGTCATGTCCATAACACAGTTATATATCTCTGAGCACAAACTAAAACTTCTGCTTTTTGAACTTGTATACAGCTGCTGATACTGTAGTGTTCTGCTGTTTCGTATTGAAGATATTAGATAAGACATATTCTGTTAACTCTGTATAACCAATATGGAATCTTTGAATAATTACATTACACTTATGACATGAACGTATCTTTTAATACACATTTCAGATGGTCACTGGTAACCTATGGATGCATTGATGGTTTGTCCCGGTACATAACAGCACTGGCTGTTGAAATGTTGAGAATATTATTCAAGCCTCAGATAAGTATGGTCTTCCATTTAGGGATAGGGGCGATCATGGAATTTAAAACATCAAAGTCGGATATGTCATGAATTTGATCAGAGGCCAACAAAGAGCTAGTCACATTACTGGGAGATCGGTTCACAATCAGAGACAAGAGCGACTATGCCGTGACGTTCACAAACAGGTGACTGAAACATTTTACAAGGAGCTTTATGCCTTTGAGGATGACGGTATCCTTGATGTAACGAATAGACAGCACATTTATGCTTTGCATTTCGTTTATGTTCCGGAAATAAACCGTCGACTGACATCTTTTCGATTAGGTTGGAATTGTCACAGAACGAGAACAGAAGGAAACCGTTCGCCTGAACAAATATTGATTGATGGTATTATAACAGTGCCTAAATTACCATACTTTTCTTCAAGTCTGTATCAATTTTAAATATGTTCTACAATCTTATAATTTTACATTCACAATCCACTAAAGTCAAATAGCTTTCAGAACCTGCATAATTATTCACTGCACTATAAAATTCAAGTGGTCAAAACCGGACGAGCTACTCTGGGAGATTAGTAACAGTAAGTGTAAGGCCACTGCTCTTTGTGTCCCAAACATACAGCGATTATTCCGTATCACCACATACAAATAAAACATTACTTCTTGGAATTGACGGGCGTCTACAATGAACAACTTTTGATTTAACATTATTAACAGTCGTCTTATTGGATATACACCAATTATGTTAACATTCCAACATAACATTTAAATCATTCTCATTTTCAGCAATCAAAACAATATCATCTGCATACGCTAAAACTACGATGCTGGTACCGTCAACTTTAACACCCAGAGATAAATTCTCAAATAAAACAATACGATCATTAACATACAGATTAAACATACGTGGTGATAGTAAACAACCTGTTTTAAACGGTTCATTCCCATTATGACTACTCCCAGTTTGACTACCCGTCCAATACACAACCTGTTCCAGTCGAGTGGTTTGTAATTACCAGCTCTCTCTCCTCCATCAGGTAGACTGTTCTACCATCACTTAAAAACAATCATAGCTGTACCAGGTTCATACAATATTTATTCAGCTAATTACACAGGCAATTGTTGTGGAAGAGTTCAAGTATACACATCTACTGAGTTACACGATATATCATAAGAAGGATACTGAGACAGATAAATGATTGAACAATAAATATGTTCGTTATGGTGTTGGTTATGCCTAGCAACGAAATGAGCTGCAATGAGTGTAATGAGTTGAGAATGTCACTATTTGTTGTGTTATTCAATGTGCCGTTACACGTTACGGTATAAAGTAGTTTTAACATCGTATCCTTGAGTAAAAAAATACACAGTTGTTCTTAAATTGTTATAGTTCCAACATGCAAAAAGGCAGTGCATAACGTCTTCGTCATAATGATTACATGAACTCTTAGATGTTTCCGATATATGTCGATTTTATCTGTCTGCATTTAGATCACTACAGCAGAGCTTGAGGCGACAGTGGATGATTTGACAAATTGTAGTCCCAAAATCTAAAACAAAGCAATTGTGAGTTTCTGTTGGGTTTATCATGGTTTTATACTGATTCGGGGAAGTAGCGTTAACAGTTCCATCGGACAATGAATTCCACAACATAATCACGCTCGGTAAAAATCATTGAGAATATATTTGCGTTCTGCAGTTAATAGATTATATGGAGGTTGGAAGGATTATGTCCGATTGTGTACAAACAATCTGTACTGTAAGTTTACAAAGTTTTAATCCGAGTAGAGGAGTTATCTCCAAATATCAAAACAAACAACCTGTACTATAAGTTTACAAAGATTTAATCCGAGTAGAGGAGTTATCTCCAAATATCAAAACAAACAACCTGTACTGTAAGTTAACAAAGTTTTAATCCGAGTAGAGGAGTTATCTCCAAATATAAAAACAAACAACCTGTACTGTAAGTTTACAAAGTTTTAATCCGAGTAGAGGAGTTATCTCCAAATATCAAAACAAACAACCTGTACTATAAGTTTACAAAGTTTTAATCCGAGTAGAGGAGTTATCTCCAAATATCAAAACAAACAACCTGTACTATAAGTTTACAAAGTTTTAATCCGAGTAGAGGAGTTATCTCCAAATATCAAAACAAACAACCTGTACTATAAGTTTACAAAGTTTTAATCCGAGTAGAGGAGTTATCTCCAAATATAAAAACAAACAACCTGTACTATAAGTTTACAAAGTTTTAATCCGAGTAGAGGAGTTATCTCCAAATATCAAAACAAACAACCTGTACTATAAGTTTACAAAGTTCTAATCCGAGTAGAGGAGTTATCTCCAAATATCAAAACAAACAACCTGTACTATAAGTTTACAAAGTTTTAATCCGAGTAGAGGAGTTTTATCTCCAAATATCAAAACAAACAACCTGTACTATAAGTTTACAAAGTTTTAATCCGAGTAGAGGAGTTATCTCCAAATATCAAAACAAACAACCTGTACTATAAGTTTACAAAGTTTTAATCCGAGTAGAGGAGTTATCTCCAAATATCAAAACAAACAACCTGTACTATAAGTTTACAAAGTTTTAATCCGAGTAGAGGAGTTATCTCCAAATATCAAAACAAACAACCTGTACTATAAGTTTACAAAGTTTTAATCCGAGTAGGAGGAGTTATCTCCAAATATCAAAACAAACAACCTGTACTATAAGTTTACAAAGTTTTAATCCGAGTAGAGGAGTTATCTCCAAATATCAAAACAAACAACCTGTACTATAAGTTTACAAAGTTTTAATCCGAGTAGAGGAGTTATCTCCAAATATCAAAACAAACAACCTGTACTATAAGTTTACAAAGTTTTAATCCGAGTAGAGGAGTTATTCCAAATATCAAAACAAACAACCTGTACTATAAGTTTACAAAGTTTTAATCCGAGTAGAGGAGTTATCTCCAAATATCAAAACAAACAACCTGTACTATAAGTTTACAAAGTTTTAATCCGAGTAGAGGAGTTATCTCCAAATATCAAAACAAACAACCTGTACTATAAGTTTACAAAGTTTTAATCCGAGTAGAGGAGTTATCTCCAAATATCAAAACAATCAACCTGTACTGTAAGTTTACAAAGTTTTAATCCGAGTAGAGGAGTTATCTCCAAATATCAAAACAAACAATGAATGATCACAAGATCCCCGATTCACTTGGCTTCTAATTATTATAGGTAGGCCCCGGGAGTCTCTGTGATAGGTTTATTTCAAAGAGTAGACAAACTGGGAGTAATCAATTATACAGGTACAGTACATTATTGAGTGTAGGGGTGCTCCATTGTACGTTTATGTTCATGAGTAGTCAAACTGGGAGTAGTCATACTGGGAAGATACCCTTGAAACCACACTGAGCACTGAATGTATATTACCCATAATACGCACAGCACATTTGACATTTTTATAAGGTGATAAAGTAGCTTTATACATGCTACCGTTCACACCAAAAGATCTTAGTTTCTCCCAAAGTAAAGTAATACAATCATAGGCTTTTTAAAAATCAATAAAAGCTGTAAAAAGTAGACTTTTTAGTGATTTTCTTGTTTCTATTATAGACGTCAGGATTGAGATGTGTTCCACGGTTGACCGACTCTTTCTAAAACCATTCTGATGATCATGGATAAGTTCATTGTCTTCAGCATATTCACTGAGTGTGTTGTTTGAACACCACAATACAGTTTATAGCAGGCACTAGAACACCTTAATACATGTACAGTTTATAGCAGGCGCTAGAACACGACAATAGAGTTTATAGCAGGCACTAGAACACCACAACACAGTTTATAGTAGGCACAAGAACATCACAACACAGTTTATAGCAGGCACTAGAACACCACAATACAGGTTATAGCAAGCACTAGAACACCACAATACAGTTTATAGCAGGCACTAGAACACCACAACAGTTTATAGCAGGCACTAGAACACCACAACACAGTTTGTGGCAGGAACTAGAACACCACAACAAGTTTATAGCAGGCACTAGAACACCACAATACAGTTTATAGCAGGCACAAGAACACCACAACATAGTTTATAGCAGGCACTAGAACACCACAATACAGTTTATAGCAGGCACTAGAACACAACAACAGTTTATAGCAGGCACTAGAACACCACAACACAGTTTGTGGCAGGAACTAGAACACCACAAAAAGTTTATAGCAGGCACTAGAACACCACAATACAGTTTATAGCAGGCACAAGAACACCACAACATAGTTTATAGCAGGCACTAGAACACCACGACAGTTTATAGCAGGCACTAGAACACCAAAATGCATGTACAGTTTATAGCAGGCACTAGAACACCACAACACAGTTTATAGCAGGAACTAGAACACCACAACACAGTTTATAGCAGGCACTAGAACACCATAATACATGTACAGTTTATAGCAGGCATTAGAACACCACAATACAGTTTATAGCAGGCACTAGCCAGGGTGATACCCCGGTAGGAGAGGGGGTCACGGGGGTCCTTGCACCCGACTTGGGGATAGGTGTAATTACTCCTTTAGCCCACCTTGACGGCACACACCCACTTTCAAAGCAGGTAGCAAACAGTTTATGAACTGGGATCCCATTGTTACATGGCTGATGTAATCGCGCTGTGATGTTTACCCCGGTGTACAAGCTAAGTATCCCCGCTATCTTTCACGTTTACTTTTAAATTCAAAGCAATGAGAAATGTAAGTTTAGAAATGTAAGTATACGAATGTCAGAATGAATTATTAGGTGAAAGTAATATGGATTCATTGGTCAAGAAAGGTATTTCAGAGTGATCGTTATATACTAGCCACATAAAAAAACTGTGCATTGTCAAAATAGTATCCCAGTTGATAAGTACGATAACAATGTCAAAGGTACATATAAACTTTAATGGAGGGATCATGAGTGAGACCATAACAAGTCGGGGAGAATTTCGATTGAAAAGTCAATCACAATGACGTCACAAGCGGTACAGGGGTCAAACGACCATGTCACAAGCTCAATAACGGGTATGTCCACCATCGGCATTGAGAACAACAGTGCATCAACGACGCATAGAGCCTATCAAACGTGCAAGGAAGTCTTGTGGGATGTCACGCCAGATTCTCTCAAGTTCTGTTGCAAGGTCAAGGACGTTATGTGGCGGATGAGGAAGACGGCGTAGACGTCGATCCATCTCGCCCCAAACATGCTCTATCGGGGAGAGATCCGGTGAATTTGCATGCCAAGGCAGTAAGTCAACGTTGTGGTGTTGCAAGAAATCCATAGCAACCCTTGTCGTATGAGGGCGGGCATTGTCCTGTTGGAATGTTGACCCAGGGCCATGACGTTGCAGAAAAGGAATTGCCACAGGTCGAAGAATCTGATCCCTGTAGCCCACACCAGTTAAGTTGCCCTGAAC